GTGAGCACAGAGGGCTGGCTCTCCCTCCCTCTCCTTCTCCCTCCCCCATGCTTCAGCCAATGGCATGTTTAGAAACTCTGTCCCCAAGTCAGAAACCTGATGTGAGTAAACGTGTGGAATAACTGGTGAGAACATGAAAATTTCCATTGAGCCCACATTGTCTCCCGCCACCCGGGGATAGTAGGTTTTGAAAGGAGAGAGAGAGAAAGAGGAGGTAGAGAGACATAGAGAGAGGCAGGAGCTGGATGGGGTGGAAGATCTGTTCCTGGGCCGTGCCTGACAACAGCAGTCAGGATCTGAGTGAGCAACACATCTTAGACAAAGCCCGTGACCACAGGACCTGTAATTTCACACCACAAAGCTCAGCCCCTGTGTCTTCATTTCCTCTTCCATTAAAAAGGGAATAATCTGTGGGATTAAACAAGATGATAGGATGTGACTACCTATTATAAAAGGGATGTTGTATAAAGGATGCTGGGTGGATGTTCATTTTCCGGTTTCTCACTCCCTCCCTCCTCCTTCCCTAGTCTTTCTCGTGGGACATGATTTTCCTCTGACTCAGTGCCAAGGTTGAGACAAGCAATCTTCCTTGTTTTGTGGGGGCAGATATTTCTCTTGTTCTGTTTCCACTTGAATATAGCTCTTTGGGGATGCAGCATAAAGTGTCCTATCCAACTTCCCACCTTGGGGGCCGGTGGCTTAGCCTTTGTTTCCATGTTCCCAGATTTCACAACCTTTTCCACCATGTCCATCAGCTACCAGGCCGGGTTGTGTGAGAGTGAGCGCTTCTGGCAAAAAGAGTAGTAACTCATTTATTTCAGGAATAATTTTTTTCTCCTCCTTAAAGCCGCACTGTGTGTGACTCAGACCCAGGATAGCTCCTGAGTAAGTACAATGTCATTCGTAAATTTGCAAGGGCTCAGCACAAGCCACATGGAAGCAGATTTCTTTTTTCTGTGACCTTGGACTTATCTTAGGTAGAACAAAGTAAAACTAAAAGAAACAAAGGCAGCCCTGCCTGGTTTGGCTCAGTGGCTAGAGCATCGGCCTTCGGACTGAAGGGTCCTGGGTTCGATTCTGGTCAAGGGCACATGCCCGGGTTGTGGGCTTGATCCCCAGTGGGGGGCATGCAGGAGGCAGCCTATCAATGACTCTCATCATTGATGTTTCTATCTCTCTCTCCCTCTTCCTTCCTCTCTGAAATCAATAAAACAAGAGAGAAGAAGAAGAAGGAGGAGGAGGAAGAGGAGGAGGAGGAGGAGGAGGAGGAGGAGAAAAGAAACAAAGGCACTGTCTCAGCCACCCGGCCCCTTGCCCTAAAAATCAGGACTAAGCCTGCTTTTCCAAATCACTTTTCAGTGGAAGATAGAATAGTTCAGGCAAACAGAAGCTCTAAGGAAAATAAAGTAATGACTTCATAACCCTGGACTTGTCTTCAATGAGCTACTGGGTGATGGGTTTTCACATTATCTCGGGCAGGAGAGCTTGGTTGGCAAACTTGTTAAACAAGAAGGCAAATAGCATTCAAATTTCCATCATCAAATATTTGCAACAGTTGATTTTGTGAAAATAAACAACAAAGTGCTGGAAAAGAGGTCCTATGGAATAATGGAAGGCAACCAATCTAAGGTGATCACCTGCTGTGGCGGAGTGAGCCAGCAAGATGCTCAGGGTGTAGGTCTCTCTGGGAGCAGAGCTGGCTCGCCATATCATGCCCTGGCCTAGGAGGTGTGCTCTTAAACAAGAGCATCACCAATTTGCATGGAACCACCCTGGAATCCAGCAACTCCAAACTCAGGGAAGGGGAATGTGACATTAGAATCCCAGGGAGGCTTGTAGAACACACACACACACACACACACACACACACACACACACACTCCCCTACCCCTGACCTTGTGGGAGTTCTACAGGACATTTGGACTTTGTTCCTTTATTGGCTATCCTTCCTCCCACGGTCCTGGGGGACATGGGGAGTCAGAAGGAGGAAATATACCCCAGTGGTGGGGCTTTCTCTGACCTGGACCTGCCCTGTGGACTAACAGTTTTGATTTCAGTAGATGCCCATACAATGGGCTGCCCACAATTCCTCTTTAAAGGAAGGGGCCGAGTTAGCCTAGAGCAGTGGTTCTCAACCTTCCTAATGCCGTAACCCTTTAATACAGTTCCTCATGTTGTGGTGACCCCCAATTTCATTGTTACAAATTGAACATAATTAAAGCATAGTGATTAATCACAAAAACAATATGTAATTATATATGTGTTTTCTGATGGTCTTAGGCGACCCCTGTGAAAGGGTCGTTCGACCCCCAAAGGGGTCGCGACCCACAGGTTGAGAACCGCTGGCCTAGAGGTACCGGTCCTCAGCAACCTCTCTCTTTGGGCTCTGCTCTTTTCTCTGGGAAAGGCACGGGCAATAAAGGAACCGAATTGGCAAACTCTGCTCCGTCACTGATGACGGGGCTGCATGCACTGAAGACGAATGCAGAGAAGAAGCGTAGTAGGTGCCTTATGGTGAGGGGTGGCCTCCCAGGCCCTGGCAGGAAGGGCACAACTTAGACATGCAGACGAGAATGGAAGGCCTTCCAGGCAGAAGACATGAGCAAAAACTCGGTATTTCGCAGCAAGTAGAGGGCGTTCCGGGGCAGTGGAGGGAATCGGAGAAAACAAATGTTGGGTCTATGCTGATTCCGTGGATGTCGCCGGCATATGTCCGCATTGGCCATTCCAGGCGCCTTCGGGGAATCGCTCTGGTAACCGAGACTGAGAAAGAGTGGCTTTCGGGGCTGCACTCACCTCTTCCCATGCCCTGCAAGCAGGTCCGGCCAGGCTGGAGGCCTCAGCCAGACCACTCTTGTCTTGCTCTGGGCTCAGAGGTAGCCAGAAAGGCTGGCAGGGCGAAGCTGTTTGATTTCCAAGGCTTTCCGAGCTAGCCAGGTGGAAGGCAGCCAGGGAGGCAGCAGCCGGCAACAGCCTGCCCAACCGCCTTGGAGAGCAGGCAGCTACTCACAGGAACAATTGGGCAGAAAGGGGGGGCGGGGGCGGCCAGGGAACATGGGCCAATTCCACATAGGGGGAATTCTGAGCAAGGTCAAAGTCCAATTTGGTACAGGGCTTTATTACCAATTTAAAGTTCATCCCTCCTCGCAGGGGGCCACCACCCCTGCAGAAGAGGCCAGGCTGGCACAGGGGGAATCTGCATTTAAAGACTCGAAGTGCCCGGCACCCTGGCAGGGCTTCAGTCTAGCCTGTGTGTTTATCCCAGAGCCCAGAAATCTCACCCCAAATATGGTCCTATGTCTCCATATCTGGACGCCTGCTTGCTTGTGGGGAAAATGCCCCAAACTCTTATGACTTTCCACTCTGGGGGAGGGTCCTGGAGTGCAGAGGAAGTGGTGGGTCTGGAAGGTGGCGATCATATGTTTTGCTTAACGGGGGCTGGAAGAAAGTCGTCAGGCATTGGCAGTCAACGGGGAGAAGACATATTAAAGAGCCAAACTGAAATATGAGAGGGGCAGTTACGTGCAACGAGGCCCATAGGACGAGGCAAGAATCTGGGTTACCATGAGGATCCGGCAGGTGGATTCTATAAAAGCGGTGGATTGACTTATTCCAGGTATTCAGTTGAAAGAAGGCTCCTCGGTGCGCCTCTCTCCTTGGGTGACCTCACCTGGGCTGCTGTAGGAACTATTAATGCCTGGTACTAACATCCAGATTCTGCTGTAGCAAATCCACAACTTCCCTCTTTCCCCATCAGTCCCACCGCCTCCACCGCCATTCCCACCCGAGGGAAAGGGATGGACAGGCTCCTCCTGGTCAAGTACTAGGAACCTCTTTGAGTTGGGCCCTTTGTGACCCTTTTACCATTCACTCAACTCACGTTTACTGGGTACCTGGGTGTCGGTGAAAACTGAGCCACACGGTGTAAAGTCTAGGCTGCTTTGGGGTTTGATTTCAGCTGTTCAGAACGATGAGGTGAGGGAGCAGCATATGGGACAACGTGTTCATGACATCAGGGTTCATGGGGACAGTGACCTTCCCACAAGGAGATTTGCTTATTGGCACCCGCAAAGGCAAAGCCTGTCGAAATCCTTTGGCTGCTTATTGGGCTGGGACGTTAGGTGTGGGTTACCTGACACGCTGTGCCAGGAGCGGCACATGTATGCCTGCTCTCATGCACGCGCACACACCTGCCTGAGGCCCTGAACGGTGTATCCTACAGGTACGTGGGCGGTCACATTGATGGAACTCAGGGAGTGCATTTTGAGTGGGTTATCAGTTATTTTTGCTGGGACACATTCCCCACCCAGCGCCATTTGCCACTCGCTTTGGGAGTGGCTGGAGCTTTTGCGGGGCACACTTAGGGCCCACTACACAGAAGAAAGCCTCAGTAGCTCCAGGTTCCCACAGCCTGAAGCCCGAAGGTCTCTGGGTGCCATCCAGGACACTGTGTCACCCGCTTCCAAATGCCCTTCCAGCCTCATCTGCTCCTTTGCTCTTGCTCAGATCTTCTCAGACTGACCCACTCTCTGCCCACCTCACCCCCAACTCACCTGGGGTGTCCCACAGACATCAGTTGTACTGCAGGTGTGGCACACCCGCTTCCTCCTTATACACCTATCAGATTCTCCCAGCCCATCTAGCCCAGTTCTGCAGACCCTCCTCAGCGGCAGGGACTTCTGGGCATTGTTCAGGGATGGCACCTGTACTGTCTCTCCCTCCTGAAGAAGCAGCTCACTGAGATTTGAATGAATAAACACACATTGACGATCTATATCGTTAACTGGGCAGCCTGCCTTGAGTGTGATCTTCCCTGTACACATGCTCTCTCTTTAACTGATTTGGAAGCTCACAGAAGACCCAGCCTCTGCATTTCACTTCTCTTCACATCACAGCACACGGCCCAGAACACTTGCCTGAAGGTGTTCAGTGACCGATGTGTTGTGATAATGAGGACGAGAGACCTTAAAAGTGAGTTCCTCCCCTCCCTCCTTCCCCCCCTTTCGGTCTCGCTCTGTCTCTGAATCTCTCTGTCTCTGTCTCTCTTTCTTCTAACTCACCTCGACGTTCCTCGTCTCTGACCCATCCCAACTCGGATAATCGATGTTCACAGGTTAGTGTCTATTCTTCCACAACTTCCTTTATGCGCATGCAAGCATACAAACTTATGTGTCTTTTTAAAAATAGGACCATTCTACATATACTTTTCTGCATCTTAATAATCTAGTATGAAAATTCCTTCAAGTTAACTGCCAAGTTAACTGGCATAAATATAATGTATTTTTAAATGGCTAAATACTATTTCTTGAAATGACCAAACCACGATTTATTCAACATATTTCTTTTGATGGGGTATCAGATTGCTTTGTGCAATACAGTAGTCCCCCCTTATCCATGGGGGATATGTTTCAAGACCCCCAGTGGGTACCTGAAACTGCAAATAGTATTGAATCCTATATACACTATGTTTTCCCCCAATACATGCATACCTACCATAAAGTTTAACTTATAAATAAGCACATAAGAGATTAACAAGAATAATAGAACAGAACAATTATAATAATACTAGAGGCCCAGTACACGAAATTCATGCACTCGGGGGAGAGGGGGCCGGGGCTTAGCCCAGATTTCGAGAGGGCACAGGCCAGGCTGAGGGACCCCACCAGTGCACGATCGGTGCTGGAGAGGAACAGCAGGAGGGCTCCAGGGTGTGTCTGGCCCATCTCGCTCAGTCCCGATCGGCTGGACCCCAGCAGCAAGCTGACCTACAGGTCAGAGCGTCTGCCCCCTGGTGGTCAGTGCACATCATAGTGAGTGGTTGAGCAGCCTTAGCATATCATTAGCATATTATGCTTTGATTGGTTGAATGGCCTACTGGATGACTGGACACTTAGCATATTAGGCTTTTATTATATAGGATACTATAATGAAAGTTCTGTGAATGGCTTTGGGGGTCATTTTAAGTAAAATAAGGGTTACTTGAACTCATGCACTGAGATTCCGCAACAGTTGATCTCGTAACTGAGGTGGCAACTGAGTGACTAACGGGGGTGAGGGTAGAGAGGGCGCGTCTATATCATGGAGACACTGAACAAAGGAATGGTTCATGTCCCAGGCAGGACTGGGGGAATGTGTGAGATTTCGTCACAGCTACTCGGAATGGCGTGCAAGTTGAAACTTATGAATTGTTTATCTCTGGAGTTTTCCATTTAACTTTTTCGGTTGACTGAGGGTAACTGAAATCTCAGAAAGCAAAACCATGGAGAAGGGGGCTCTATAGAAACCACGCCCTGTGCTGGCTGGCTGACCGAGTGCACGGTCAGCTGAGAGCGAGGGTAGCTGCTCAGACATCCGCAAGCTGCCGAGAGGCCCCGTTAGACGATGGAGGGGCCTCTGGCCTCCTCACACCCTGTACACAGGATGGGCGGACTCGTCGTCCACAGCCCTGGGCGAGGCAAGGTGAATCTTTGCCAAGTTGGGGAGCCAAGGTAAAGAAAGGCACACTTTCTGGAGGCTCTGTGTTTTGTGGGCCCTTCTGACGGGTTCTAGAAGCTTCCGAGGAAGCTCATTTTTCTTGCTCACACAGCTTACGCATACCTTCCCTGCAGATCTGGGGACCATGGCGCCGTCTTGGAGACACTGGGAAGATGTATGGGGTACGTCCCAGCCAGTGGCCTGCATTTCGCTTGGGTAAGCCTGGGTTTGCTTTTTCTTCCCTGGAGATTTATTTTCCCCTTTTCTTCTTTTTCCCCCCAAGACCTTGAAGCAAGGGAGACCCAGTTGGTAACAAGAAGAAGCGAATCCCAGACAACAAGCCTGTGGGCATGACCGCCATGTGAACCGAGGCAGCGCTCCCACCAGCTGGTTGCTCACATGGAGAGCACAACCCCACCGCTTGGCCAGCCTAATGTTGCTGTGGTTCCCATCACTGGCATGGCGCCCTGCGTCTGGCTGGAGCTGTGGCTGTGGGGGCAGTCAGCTCCCTGAGCTCGGCCTGGGCCTGGGCAGTGTCAGCAGTGGCCGCCCCTACATAGACAACCAGCCACCGCTGGCTGAGCACAGCTTTCCACTCGCCCTGTTCTCGAGTTCCAGGACCCAGACCTGTCTGTATTTATGTCTCGGCCGCATGTGTGAAGTCTCCTTCCTGGAGAGGCCTGATCTTGGGGGCCAGGACCTGTGGCCACCACTTGTGGCCACCTACTCCCCACCTATTCCCCTGAGGAGGGGCTGGGCAGTCACACCTGAGCCCTTCAGAACATTCCATCCCTTTGAGAGGCAGCCCAGGACCTGCACCCGGGCGAGAGCAGTGCTGGGTGAGGGCCAGTACTACCAGGTATGTGCCCTTGTGTGTGACTCGAGGGGAGGAAAAGTCCTGCCTAAGTACATCTGCCCTCCCCATGTTGCTCAAAATTCTACAAGGAGTGACTCAGGTAAAAAAAAAGTTACAACAATAATAATGGTGTTTGTTTGTGCTTTCCAGGTTTCATTAGCTGGTTCAGTTTCTGGGTCAGCCTCAAGGAGACGGACCAGGAATTATTGCTACTACTTCATAGACGGGGACACTGGGAGGGTCAAGAAGAGGAAGCAGGTCCGGCTGGGGGTCAGGTGGCCGTGGTCCCAGCCTCGTTCTGTCACTGATTCCTTCGTTTCCTGATTAGAATATATTCTGTCATTTATCCAATTCTTTTCATTTAAATAGGACATATCAGTTAAAGGCAGACCTTTATTACTGGTATGGAAGTGTCTCCAAGATAGGGTGCTAAGTATGAACGGTGACATGTGGATTGTGCTACCGTTTGAGTTTTTAGAAGATGGTTCTATATCCACATGTCTGACTGTATCTGTGCACCGCCATGTGGAGGCCATGCAGAGCATGCTGGCAGGTGGGAGGAGGTGGGGCTGGAGGAGGCAGGGAGGGAGGCAGCTGACTTCTCTATATTCCTATCCACCTTTTAATTTGCCACCACGTATAAACAAAATTTAAACATAAAACTATTTTATATTGAAGGCCTTAAGGTTTCCTCGTGGAGCCGATGGGATGAAGTAAATGATATGAGACTCTTTATATGCATGGAAGGATTATTATTACCTGAGGGGGTCTCTTACAGGCTATTATCAACCATGAACTTTGACAACATTATGCATCGGAAAAATGACGGGCTTAGGAATGGAACAGACACGAGGAACACTTGCTCTCTGTTTTCTCAGCTAAACACTAGGGGAGAGGAAGGGGATAACGGCTATTACGCGTGATGAGAAATACAAGGAAAACATGAAACGCCAGGGGCAACGTAGGGCATGCCCTCCCCTTCCCACCACGCGTGTCAACAGGGCTCCTGGGAAATGGGAAACTGTTCTGTGTTTCAAGTAAGTCCGGACAGCAAAGAAGGTCTCTAGGGCAGCACTAGAACATAACGAAGCCACACATGTAATTTTAGGTTTTCTAGCGGCCACGTTAGAAAAGCACACAGAAACAGACGACACAAATTTTTTTTTAGTCTCTGCTCACTTCTTTTCTTTTTGGTTAATCCTCACCTGAGTATATTTTTTCCATTGATTTTTAGAGGGAGTGGAAGGGAGGGCGGGAGGGGGGGGAGAGAGAAAAAGAGAGAGACAGGGAGAGAGTGAGAGAGGCATCAGTGGTTGCCTCCCACACATGCCTCAACCAGGGCTTGGGATCGACCCTGCAACCCAGGTACATGCCCTTGACTGGAAATCAAACCCTTGACCCATTGGTGTGCAGGCCAATGCTCTAACCACTGAGATCACCGGCCATCGCAGATGACATTACTTTTAATAACATATTTAAATTAACCCAATTTTAGCATGTAATCAATATACAATTATTTCTGGGATATTTTATATTTCTTTTCTTTCCCCCCTCTTTTTATTTGTAAATTACAGTTAACATTCAATATTATATTAGTTTCAGGTCTACAGCATAGTGGTTAGACCAGGGGGTCCTCAAACTATGGCCCTCGGGCCACATGCAAATACAAATATTGTATTTGTTCCCATTTTGTTTTTTTACTTCAAAATAAGGTATGTGCAGTGTGCGTAGAAATTTGTTCATAGTTTTTTTTTAAAACTATAGTCCGGCCCTCCAACGGTCTGAGGGACAGTGAACTGGCCCCCTGTTTAAAAAGTTTGAGGACCCCTGGGTTAGACATTCATATAATTTACAAAGTGATCCTCCTGTATATAGTGAACACAATATTATTGACTATATTCCCTATGCTGTACTTCGATTTTCCATTGATTTTCACACTGAGTCTTTGGATCCAGCATGAAGTTCATTTATACCTAGAGCACACCTCAATTCGGACCAGCCTCATGTCCGATGGTCAGTGGCTAACAGCTACCATGATGGAGGGGGCTAAGACAACACTGCAGAAGGTTCCAGATCACCCAGGGGTCTGGGGCTGCAGCTTAGAGGAAGAAGGTGATGGAGGTAAAAGCAGGCTTGCCTAGTCCAGGCTCTGGTTAGGTAACCAAAGCACAGAACACGCTTGAGTAAATAAATAGGGGCCGTGTGCTCTGTCCCGTGGGGCCCTCCTCCCATCACCAGAGGAAGGTCACGTGCTTTCCCTCTGTGGTGAACTGGAAAGGGTAACTGGGCAGGAGGCCAGGGCAGGAGACAGGGAGAGGCTGGGCACGGTCTCTGTGCGATTTCTGGTGCCCACTCTCCCGGTCTCTCTTCCCTTCACCTTCTCCAACCCTGAGTGTGGTGCTCCTCTGCTCTGAGCCTTCCTCTCCCCCTAGTACACACTGTTCCTGGAAGCCGCTTATGTGTGATCCCAGCTGCGTTCCGCGTCTCTTCTGTGTCCCCAGAGCACCCGCTCTGCGTCCTCATTTCCTGTCTACTTGCTTGACTCCCCACCCCCTCCCCAGCCGCCCGTGGACTGGGAGCCCTGTGAGGGCACAGCCATTGTCCCCCCTGCGCAGACAGAGCCTGGCCGCAGCAGCAGACCCCGAGTAAGCAATGACTGGCGTTGTTCTTTGTGGGTATTCTTTCTAGTTATCCTCGCAAAAGCCTTATTAGTATTTATTTTCAATTCAAGACATGGCAACCAAGGCTCAGGGCCTCTAGGGGTTGACTTGTCAGCGAGAATTAATGTAACTTTGAGAAAATGACTAGCCTCGTGGCCCAGCTCTGTCTGCGTGTCCATAAAACAGGAATATTACCTCTTCTTAGGGTTGTTGTGAAGATAGCATGAGGCTATGTGTAGAATGTCCTTGGCTTACAGTAGGTGATCGATACATTTGTGTTGATTAACCAAGAAACTGGATAATTATTACCATCATTATAATGGAGACCAGGGGCACTTTTTAAATTCTCTCTTTTTAATACCGTCCTCCTGTGGGCTTTTATTGGCTTCGTTTTGCAGATACAGAAAATGAGGTTCAGACAAGGGATCAAGACCACAAGGCACCCTCGGATCCTAGGCTTTCTCCTCCTTCCTGTTCCCCGGGGGGATATGAAGCTATGGAGCCCCAGGGCTGAGAGCACAGAGCTGCTTCCACAGGACCCACAGGCTGTCAAGTTCAGAAAGAGAACAGAAAAGCCAGGTAGTAACTTCACACACACACACACACACACACACACACACACACACACACACCCCAAAAGAACAGTGTGCAACCTGGGAGCACTCACACCAAAACATGAGCCACTGAGGCTTAGAGGCGTCTTGTTACAAAGCAGCTCATGCAGTGTGGCGGCGGCGGTTTACTCTTCACAGTGATTGGTTGCAATATCAGAATTTTCTTCAGCGGAAGGGAATTGGCTAGTGGTTCCCTCATAACAATGCTGGGGGACATTGACGTTTTGCTTATGATTTTCAGAGGCATGAGCAAGAAGTGACGCAGGTGAAGTTAGCCTCACTCGTCTTGCAAAATAAACGGAATTAACTTGCTGTACGACTGAGCTGGCCTGTCTGCTCAGGGAAGACTCAAGCCTGGCCTCCGTGGTGTTGGACAGAACTCAAGCTCAGAAGGCTTGGCTGGTGCGTCCAGCCGAGGGGTCTGTCCCAATGGGCTGTAGGCTCCGATCCTTTGCAAAGGTGCTGGCCGTGTCATGTTCTGACGTGTTCTCCTGTGGTATTGCATGTGTGGCACTCCTGCTCATGTCATGGGGGAGCTGTGGGGCCAGGCACACGCTCTGCCTCTGTTGTTCCTCTGGTTTCTCCCAGTGCCGACACAGGGGCTGGGCTGCCTGCGGTTGTGCGTGTCGTCTTAGGGCAGGGCTGAAGCTGGGGCAGGAAGGCCGCAGGAGAGAGGACGGGGAGGTGATGGTGTTGGAACCTTTCTGGAAAGATCCTAGAGACAGTTCTGCTTGTGCTTGTGCGTCCGCGCCTGCTGGCCAGGGGCCACATTAAAGGGAGACCTCCAGGAAGATCCAATCGGAGTCAGCAGAACTTGGGAAGGTCGCGGTGGACCCGGGGGCAGGGGACAGGGCTGGTGCTGGGCTCTCCGCCTCCCTTCCCCCACGCCCTGAAGGAGCTTGTGCAGCTGCTTGGCCTCCTGGGCCAAGGGCAGGGCGCTGAGGAATTCAGACACATGTTCAGCGTTCACTGGACTGGCTCCCTGGGTCTTGGTCATTGCTGCAGAAATGATCTCACGTGGTTGATTTCTTGTCCTTCAACTTTTATTCAGAACTTAAAAGAATGCTCTACCTTCACAGCCCCACCTGGGTCACGGAGCTCTTTCCCCCCCTTTTTTTCAGGGTCACAAGCACCTGGTGGAAAGGAGGTGCCCCAGCTGTGGGTGCGGGTTTCTCCCCAAAGTTCAACTCCCACAGGTCTCAGTCCAGCCCAGTGGTGCAGAGGGAAGTGCTCAGGGTTCCGGGGCCCCTTTCTATGCTGCCAGCCTGTCTGTCTCAGAGGGAGCAGCCGTCTTTGGGGGAGACACCCAGACTGGAAGCTGTGGATACGGGAAGCTAAGAAAGAGGGGCACACAGCCAACCGTGGGCTTGAGGGAGAGCTGACAGGACTGAGCCGGCTGAAGGGAGTGAGCTGGGATCCAGAAATGTCTCTGAGGGCCCCTCCAGGCTTTGTCCCCGGCCCCCCTCCTGGAGTGTTGTGCTTGGGTCCCTTGGAAGTCAGACAGCTTGCTTCCTGTCCTCTGCTCAGGAGGCCTTGTGTGCCTGGGCTCCGCCTACACCCAGCTCAACCTCAGTCTCCAGGGCCAAAGAGAAGCTGGTGAGGCCCAAAGGTCTGGGATCTCTTTGAATGGGAACGTGGAGTGCGGAGGGGGGAAGAGGAGGAAAGAAAAGAGGGCAGTTTGACCTGGTGGTTTAATTCTTATCTGGGGTCTGGCTGCACTGACATACCCACGAAGGAAGGCCCAGCCTCTCTAATCCAGGGGTCCTCAAACTACGGTCCGCGTGCCACATGCACATACAAATATTGTATTTGTTCCCG